ACTTATAGCCTGTTTGGCCAAGCTTCTAAAATCAGCTTATTTTGAAAAGTGTTTGTACTTTTGGTGATAAGAAATTTGTGTTTGGCTAATTAATTTGAAAAGTACTTTTAAGCAGTAATTAGGGTTTGGCCAAGCTTTTAAAAACTGTTTCTAAGTGTATTTTCTCATAAGTGCTTCTGAGAAAAGTGCTTTTGGAGAGAAGCTACTTTTTTCTGCTTTTCAAAAACTGCTTCTGCTTCTCCTCAAAAGCATTTTTTTTTCCTACTAAAAGCTTGGCCAAACATCTCACTTTTTGGAAAGAAGCACTTTTGGCTAAAAAAAAAAAAAGCACTTTTGGCCCCCCAAAAAACTTGGTCAAACAGGCTATTAGAAGTATTTTTTAAAAGCTTAGCCAAGGCCACTAATTGTTGCTTAGAAGTGCTTTTCAAATTAATTAGCCAAACACAAACAGCTTCTCACGAAAAGTGCTTTTGAAAAAAAACACTTCTCAAAATAAGCTGATTTTTCCAGCTTGGCCTAACATGCTATTAATATCATATATTTTGAGAATATTTTTAGTTGTACCAATTTTTTTTTCTTAAACTTTATGCTCAAATAAATAAAACAATAAGAAATTAACGTAAATAGTCGCTCATCTAATGACTAAAATTAAAACTAGCCGAAGATTATATAATATATATAATTCATAGTATAATCCGTACACACACTGATGAGCTTAAAATTACTCGATATTTAGACCTTCTTTGTTTCTTGGATTGGATTGATTTGATAGGGATTTAGCCTGAATTGTGGCTTAATATGTTACTTTTCGATCTAGGTATTGAAGAGATGATCAATGGACAGATAATGCATGAAGTGGGAGAAAAACTAGATGAGGAATGAAGAAAAGAGAAGTGAGGCCGCGCAACTGAAGATGTGAACACGCACCTGAGCGCGCACAAGTCACAGGCGGTCTGGAGGTTATGCGCACCCATATGCACGGCAACGCATGTCTGCCTCCGAGAAAGTTTAGTGTCATAGAGGAGGTATCTTGGATTTTGGAGCAACTTTTGGAGAGAAGAAGTCAAGGAAACAATATAGACTTTGAATATTTCATCTAAATCATTCAATACGAAAGTTTGTTTAAATTTGTGGGTTGTAATATTTTTTTGTTCTCTTAATACTCTTATGATGAACAAATTCTCCACTATGGAGTAGTCCTTCTTAGGGTTATTGACAAATAATGCGACTTGATTATTATTTGAGGATTTGATTTTTGTCAGTTGCTTGAATTCGTTGAAAGAGTTTTAAATTGAATTACAAAGTTATTTATGGTTTTACTTTAATCGAAATAGAAGTGTTGCTGCAATTATCATTTTGTTATCTTGTTTGGGTTAATTTCACGACTCATATAGGTAATAGAAAAAACTTGTAGAGTTATCAATTGACCCAATTTAGAGAAATAGTCGAGAAACGTTCTTCGTAAGATCATTCATTCAACGCTTCATAGCACTTGTCATTAGGTTGTTTAACGGAACTTTCATTCATTCGGAAGAAGAATTTGAATCCTTAAAATCATTTATTGAAATCGAAAGAGTCAACAGAACTTAAGAGTGCTTAGCACAGAATTATCTCGAATAATAGTTGAGCACATTTTTTGTCAAAGCCTTTATTTCTCTCATTGATATTCAATCGTTGTTACTTAACTATCCAATTTCCATTATTCATTCTTAACTGATAATCTTAGTTTTCACTCTTAGTTTGTTGATAACTCAAGTACAAAGGTTTATTTTCCTGAATAGTGTTAACGTGAAGATTTATTTGAACATTATTTAAATCAAATCCTGTGGAGACGATTTAATATTATACTATCTTTGACTAGCAAACTTAAGTTTTATATATTGATTTTGCGCTCGTCACACACACACACATATATATATATATACCTACCTGTTAAAAAAAAGTAATCAGTGAATCCGATTAGTTATTTGCGTAAAAATCCTATTTAATAAAATAAAGAAGAAAGTGTAAGAATCCCAATAAAATAAAAAAAGAACAGATGTAATACTTTTCTTTCTGCGTCGGTGGTGATGATAGGGTTTCACGTGGCCAATTCTTCGTGACAGGCAAAAAGGAGGAAACAACATTTAGCTAATTATTACTAATGCTACGTGACAATCGGACAGTTAACAACAACGACAAAAGGCTTAACCCATTTCATTTCATTTCAAAGAATGATTGACACCTACGTCTTTTCCTAATTCAGATTAAATTATTTGGAGATCCATAATTATTGGAAAAGAAACAAAAAGAAACAAGCAAAGATATTTCGATGATCGAAAGTCTTTTTATATTATTGAAAATATTTCAGGAATTTCAAGAGCGGTCAATCTCTTGATTTTTTTTCCCCGCTGAAAGTGTTATCTTCTATTTTATCAATCTATGTTTTGATTCTTATTTTTTCCTCTAAAATTATCTCTATTTAATTTTATGCTGTCCTCGAACAGTGAAAAAGGTATTGTAGCATAAGGGAATAATCTTACTGATAAAAAAAGATGTAAGTTCCTTTTTAGCATATTCTTTGGCTATTGATCATGTTGTAAAAAAGAATATTCTCGAAAATGAATACAAGGCACAGGTGCAATAAAATATGAAGTAATACAATACAATACTTCATCTTCTTGTTTTTTGAGATTTAAATATTTTAATTTTGACCATACATTTGGATATAAATTTTTGTTAATTTTTCGAAATAAAATTTACATATTTAGAAACTAAATAAAAAGTAATATAAGTCACAAGAATTAGTAATTTAAAATATTTAAAAAAATATATAAGAAATTATAATCAAAATATAATTTGTTAGCTCTTAAAATCCAAACAACTTCATATAAAGTATTACGTTTCTACATAAAAAATGATTTCCGTCCAAAAAGACAGCTGGCCGATACTAATCATTTCCCGAATGCCGCAGAACTTGACAAAACATCCTCTCTGGCCTCTTTTTTTTTTTTTTTTTCTTTCTCTTAGAGATGTCCGACACAAATTAAAAAGTTACACCAAACAAGACACCAATTCATATACGAAAAACAATATAGTTTGATTCACTGTTTAAATTTTAATAATTTAAAAGCAATGAAAAGAAAGGATTTTCTGCCCAAAAGTCTTGTGGCCTATAAGAGTATGTGATAAAGGATAAAATAAAAAATTAAGTGCCATAAATTCTAATGATACTTTTGGTATGCGCTAAAAAGTATTTTTTTCTTTTTTAAATTCAGTATCCGGACAAATGCTCTCAATTAAGTAAATAAAATAAATATAAAATAACATACCTAAATTGAGATATAAATTTTACCAATATGTTTTCCATTTAGTACCCCGACAAATACTCTCAAATTAATTTTTTATTTNATATATATATATATATATATAGCAATTTATTTAATATATTTTTAATTTATACTAAATGATGTATTTTGATATATTTATATTATCATATAAATAATAAGTAATATCACATACCTATCATTTTGCTTTGGATATCTGTAATTTTTACATTGTTTAATATATTTAATATATATTGTATTGTTCTTTTTCGGTGATTTGACTCTCAAAATACATTTTGGAAAAATTAATTGAACATAATTTGCTTATCAAGTATTGCAAAAAATATTTTTTAAATGATTTGACAAAACACAAACTATTATTCTTCAAAAGAATTTTTTCAAAAAGTACTTTTAAATAAAAATATTTTTTAAAATAAGTAATTTTTATCAGCACGATCAGAAGGGGGTCCAAACTTAGAGCATGTTTGGCCAAGCTTTTGAGAGGCCAAAAGCGTTTTTTTGCCCCAAAAAAAGTACTTATTTGAAAATAAGAGGTGTTTGGCCAAAAACGAAAAGTGCTTTTGAGTAGCAACAATTTTGCTGATTTTGGGAAGAACTATAAATTCTACCTTGTTCCAAAAAAAAAGAAGCATAAGCTGAAAAATAATGTTTTCAAGACGAAAATATCTGTGCCAAAAAATTATATTTCCTAAATTATCCCTTATTAATTTAACCTTTACTTCTTCTTTTTTATCTCTACCATCTTTTCTTCTCTTTTTTATTTTTACCTTATTTTATTCTTCTTCTCTTATTCCTATTTGGAATAATTTCTCTAATATAAATAGATCTCTTCTTTTCTCTTTCGCTATTTCTTCTTTTTCTTTATCTCCTTTTACTTTTTGAATTAACAAGGCTAATCACTAGATTTAAACACTTTCTTCATAAGGTATGATTTCTTTTCTTTTATAGTATACCAATATTGTGTGATCTCCAGATTGTAGATTTTTTTTTTTTTTTGAAAAATACGTTTTCAATGGTTTGTATTCTCCATC